GATGCTATATATATATATATATATATATATATATATATATATATATATATATATATATATATATATATATATATAAAACATCCATTATATATATATATATATATAAACAAAAAGACCATGAATTATTCATGCACATATAAACTCTCTAAAGCAACTATCTAATTTAACAGTCATACTAATGAATTATTAAAGTAATTCTATAAGAAACATGGACTAAAAATACCAGTCGTAATCAGAGTCAAAATCTCACTTCCGGCACATATGACTGGATGTGGCACTTTTGCAACGTTTATAGTTTGCTGACTGGATGCTCCAGCTGTGTTTAACTGTCAGCATCTTCTCAGAGTAGTTTTCTGTAGCACTTGGCAGCCCGGCAATTGCAAGCATTTATAATGTACAGGGGTATGCAAAAGTTTGGGCACCCCTGAAAATTTTAATTGGATAATTATGGCATGCATCCAAACGGGAATTTTAAGTGTTTCTCCTTTTTTTCACAGTTCTGAAGAGTGGCAATCTGTGAGCCTCAAAACAACTCTCAGACAAGCTGAAAACAATAATTGTTGAACATTACAGTCTCGAGGAAGGATACAGAAAGCTCTCAGAGATTTAAGCTCTCGGTTTCAACTGTGAGGAACATTGTAAGGAATTGGAAGACCAAAAGCACCGCTCTAGTTAATGCCTGAAGTGGCAGAGCAAGAAACGTTTTAGATAATCAGAGCCAATGGATGGTGAGAACAGTCACGGACAACCCACAGACCATGGGTCTGAATCATGCTGCAGACGGCGTCACTGTGCATCGCTCAACTACTCTGCACTCTTTACACCAGGAGATTTACACTGTTCCAAATGAACATTTCAGTCCCTATAAATGAATATTTATGGTGTGATTTTAAGAGGGCTGTCCATGCCCAGAAACCATCAAACCTGACTGAACTGGGGATGTTTCGTAAAGAAGAACAGTGCAAAATAACTTCTGTAAGAATCATAGGAGGATGCACCAAATATTGAGGTTATTTTTTTTTTTGATGTGCCTATATTTGCGGACATGCCTAATTAAATTTACTTAATGAAAGCTTTTGCATACCACTGAATAGGACTCCCAGCGCTCAGCCAAAAGTAAGAAACACAAACAGATCGCTTTCTTATAAGCGCTGTAGCAATTACGTTACATAAAAAGGGGATGTATAACAGAAAGAAAATATCCTGACAATTTATAACCTACAGTATATAGTGCATTGTGTTTTGTCTCCACAAAAAGAAGGCCTAATGCCTCTTATAGGTTGGTACAAATGTAACCATTGTAAATGAAAGGTTGACGTGATCTGGTTCACATTGATGTTGTTAACAGCAAACTTAAATATATTTAACCTAATTGATTGCAATGTCAACAATTTAACCGTCTGTCCAAGAACTCAATATCAGCTATGATGCTTTCCACCACTTACCAGTCACTGCTCCTTGACCTAAACAGTAATAAGACATGTTGTACACCTTATTTCACAAAACAGGCTCGGGTGCTGCTTCTTCCTCCTTCACCAGCACACAAATCAGAAGTTACAGTTTGAACACAAAACTTGATTGCAATGGGACGGCAACCAAAATCTAAAAAATAGATCTCACCCTTAGGGCTCACATTTGTGTTTTTGGACTGTTCGAGGGCAATCATATGAACGCACAAAACTCCTTTCAGAGAGATTCAACTTAAAATCAAGAAAAGCAGTGGAAGATAATACTCATCTTCAAAACTTACTTATATAATGATTCAGTTTGGTTTGTTTATTTATTCACCACAGAACTCTATCCATTTGCACTGTTGTAATACAGACCTGAGGTGTTGAGCCTACCTGGGACCTTTATTTTTTCTGAATCTTTAAACTGTAACATCAAAAAATGTGTTTCCACCAAGTTATCGTTTAACTCAAACTATTTCACAAGCGGCACACATCTAAAACCATACATATGCACTCCATGACCATGGCAAAAATCACTGTAATCCATGGCTTCTAGTGCCGTATTGTGTTATTTAACTGTCTGCTAACCCACAGCAGTTGCAGAGCTGAAAGTAATACACAGCCATTTATATCACATACACAATTCTGCAGTCTATGACTGTACTTTATACGCAATGGTGCCAACAACCTCCCACTTAGACCCAATCTGACAAGCAGTGACGGTATGACTAACCTCATTCAAGCTTATAAAAATGAAAAAGATTGTAAAAAGCTTGATGCCATAAACATTTGGAAGGATTTGGTGATAGAAATGCAATGTTAACACAGAGGGAAAGGCATCTGTGGACAGATTGCCATCCACACACATGTATCTTAAGTGATGGTCTATACAGTGTGACCCGATTTGAGTTAAACATTTGCAAATTTGGAAAAGAAGCAATCTGGTTACTAGGGAGAAATCAATGATGTCATTTAAAGGTTCCCTTCACACTTTGAAGTCTTCAAAGTCTTATGCTCCTACCATTTTCTGAAGCTGAGATATAGATCTTGTGATTTGGTTGCTAGGGTAAAAAGTTAAGTCGCTATGGAGGAGCCAGTGACATTATGTTCCCTGTGTCACTCGGAGTTAAAAAAAAAAACCTCCAGGTTTGGTTGCAAAGGTAAACAGGGTGGTTGCTATAGACAGGTCAGTGACATCATGTGTCCCATGCCAACATTAGTAAAATAAACCAACCACTATCTACTATTTTCCAAAGCTGAGATAGAGATATCTCAAATTGGTTGCTATGGAGGAGTCAGTGGCATAATGTAATGTCTGTCTATTTTGTCACTGTAAGTAATATAAGGTAATTATAAAAGTGGTGTTAATTCATTTTTCTGTTGGAACACCATGTCTTGTCCTTTGTCTCTGTAAAAACATTAACTATTCCACCCATGCCAGACATCACTAAGGAACAGTTACATTCGTATCATTAATGTCCTCAGTTTGCCTTTCTGTGAACTTCTCATCATGATAAGATTATTAATTGTGTGTTTAGTTTTCATTCCTTCATATACTTTCATTCCGTTCCAATGAGAGGATGACGGAAACGAAATGAATGGTAGTTCGTCTGTTCGTCAGTGCATAAAAATGCTGCTTGTGCTTGGAATTGAAATGGCTGATGAAAGGAGCATTGAATAGACTGGGGGATGGGACACAATGAGAACTGAAGAGGAGGTGGGGGGAGAAGTTGTTTTCTGAACCCAAAGACATGAACCTGGCAACCCCATTATTCAGTGTTTGAATGGAAAAGGCACTTCATTGCTTTTCAAATCAACACACAGTCTTTCAGGGAGAATTTCAGGGACATTGGAGAAGATATCAGTCCCTAAACATATAACATTATTTTGATGTCATTGTTTTTTTACATTTGTGTGTGCGCGCATAAAGAATAAATGGCATAGTGCCTCACTAATTATTAATATATATATATATATATAAATGACATTTATTAATACTTATGTACATGTGATTTTTCAGGTTTTGCATTTTTTTTTATTAAATTTGCAACAATTTCAAAAAATCTTTTTTCAAATTGTCATTATGGGGTATTGTGTAGAAGTTTGAGGAAATAAAATGAATTAATCCATTTTGGAATAAGGTTGTAACATAAAAAAATGTGGAAAAAGTGAAGTGCTAGGATGCACAAATGAAAGGTGAATTCCGGATGCACTTTATATGTGTGTATATTTAGATGTATTTTTCAATATAGATTTTATTATAATCATTATTATTATTATCATTATTATTATTATTGTTAGCAGCAGCATTTTTTTCTTGGTTGTTTACAGTTTTCTTTTTTTATTATTTATTATTATTAGCAGCATTTTTTTCTTGGTTGTTAACAGATTTCTTATGAAGACTTGATACATTATTTTACAGATGCATTGTCGAAAAAATGCATAAACATGTAAAATGTTTTATACAAGAAACTAGCATTATACAAATGGTTTATTAAACCTGGATTGAGTTCAAATTCGGATTCAGAATCCCTTTCCATCTAAGGGAATCTTGTGAAAACATGTCTCAAGAAATAACTAGAACAAGATAACACAAAGACCAAATACATAAATGCTTTAAAAACGGCTCACTTGCCGTGCAATTGTCAAAGCTATTATATCATGTTGCCTTGTTTCAGCTTGAATTTGCCATAATGGATTCTAGCTAGTTGAGTTCTAGGAGCAGCACATGAACAGTATTCCATAAATGACTAATGAAAGTAAATGAGAGAAGGGTGGGTGTTGGGTTCTGTTTGTGTAGTTAGCATCCATCAGCACCCAGGAGTCATGTAAATGCTGCTAACTATTTCGGAGAAGAGGCATCAATCATGGCGGCTATGATGGGCTCTTTTGTTTGGGACGCAAGACAAACACAGCTGCTAACAGACCTCGATACTCTGCCGTTTTTATCTCAACACCACACCTGTCCTCATGCACTTATGTATTGCTCAGATACTCTTGCATTAACGGCACTCTGTTTAGCTCAGCTCCTCCAGTATGGCTGTTTAAAATAGCACACTTGGGTTTTGTTAAACCTTGTTTACACTAAAGACCACAGTGTATTGTGTGTATTTGTCACGAGGCCCTCGACATCCACCTTTAAGTTAAATACTGGAGTAAATGTAAGAAGAGTGACATTTTGTTTTAATTATTTTATCAGCTGAAAAGATAAAGCACTTTTTATCCTCGTCTTTGGCTGTGCACGTAGATGATAAGGGTAAACATGGTCTAATCGCATCTATTATTCCTGGAATGTACCGCTCTCTTCTTGAAAAGGAACTTGACGATCAGGATTATTTAACATTCAAACTTCTTGTGGCAGCTAACATGAGTTACATTTATTTGCAAGTAATTAATTTAATTTTTTTAATCAAAAAAAGTTTTGCCATCAAAAAGGAAAGACGTGGTGTTGTATGTTAAGGGAAAAAAAACAGCTTCCTTTCATTTGTACATTTAGTAGATGCTTTTATCCAAAGCAACTTCCATTTCAAGGAACGAAGACATTTCTAGCTTCCCCCGTGGTTTGGATCCACAACCTTGACGTTGCTAGCACAATGCTCTACTGACTGAGCCACAGGAAAGCTGGGACGGAGAAGGCCACGCAAATCATCAGGTTGCGCTCTTTTAACGGAATCAGCGCAAATACAAATAAAACGCATCCTGAATGTGGTTGAATGTGAATTTCCAAGGTTTAACGAAAACATTGCTAATCGTGTGAACTGTTCTTTGCAGCTGGCTTTTTTCCCCCTCCTGTAAGAAATTTTTAATGTGTCTTTCCGTTTAGTCAGTAAAATCTTATTTGATTACCTTTCGCTTGTTTCTTAAACTTTGACTCGCTAATCAGTGCCTTGTACTGATGATTTTGTTGATTTAGCTCAAATGCTAATTACCCTAGGATTATTGATTTGAAGTATTTCGTTTCTGAGCTGTTATTGTTTACAGATCTAATCCAAAATCTGATTAATAACAAAGTATAAGATGTTAATCTTACAGGAGCATGTAAGTAATTAATAGTTTTAATTAACCAGGACGTTCACAGGAACCGGAAGTAAGTGGTTGCAGCCAGAGAGCTAAGGAATTATGCGAGTCTAATCAGAGAATATACGCTGAGGGGAAGTGAGGTGTCTGCTTCTGAAGGGAAGTGAGGGTGTGTGGTTGGCTGGGTGAACGCATGGAAAGAGTGACTTGTTTTGTTGTGACATTTTTGGGATTCTGTCTCCTGATAAAATTGGATTGGACACCAATTCATTCGCGCACACACACACACACAAAGATACAAAAATGGCAAACAAAAATGTCTCCATGTGCCAGCAATGTTTTATCAGATGTTATTATGTGAAAGGAAACATATGAAACACAAGCGCCTTCTTCATAAAGCTGTTCCTGCTTTCAGGACCGCTAGGTGCCCGTAACTTTCGCCTGCCCAAAATCTCTCTCTCACTGCGAAAATCCGCTCACTGCTGAAGAAGCTCATGTCCACCTTGCTACGATTGTTTATTTTATTGTTTTAATATAAAGTGATTTTTTTGTAGATGTGACAATGTTTAATTTAGCAAAATAGTGTATTCTATGAACAACCATTATTCTATTATTAACGCTTGTTTATTGCTAAATGTTTATTGCTAAAACATCAGAACCAAACCGTGAGCTTTGTGTACCATTGCATCCCTAAGATTTACAAGGTAATATATTACATACAAGGCATTACAGACCGTGGCATTATGGAAAGAAAATTTTATTTTACTCAAAATAGCAGAATTTTACATCACTCTACATAAAAAAAAATACACTGACAGGGATTGCATCCAGCAAAGCAAAAGTGGAAGCACCTGCCTACACCGCGACAGAAAGTTCAACTCGGAGCAAGTTAGACCTGCAATCTCAAGTCACGTGATACGACTCTGGCCACTAAATTAGAGAGATCACATGCCTGAGCTTTTTGATTGCGTAATATGAAGCATTGCTTAATATGAAGCAAATGTACATTTTAGGATGACAATATTGCTATAGAGTAGATTAGAGCGCACCCGAGTCATATAGTGAATATTTTTTAATATTTTAATTATTATTACACTGTTTTCTGGGCGTGCTCATAATGCACGCAATGAGATTCCGCATTGTTCAGGAGCAGTGTGACAAACAGCCACCTGCATGACTTCACATTTTATTGTGCGATCACTGAGAATTGTGTGAAATAAGACAATTTTGCTGTCTCTCTGTGCGTCAGTGATTCTATATGTAACCACATGTACTATATTAGCTGAAATGACATAGTTTAGCAATTGTTTATGATGTACAGTGTTTGTTTATTAACACCTGTAATTATGTAACATGTTTTTTGTGCTAAACTATTTATTCTTTTCTTCCGAAGGAGTGGAAAAACAAGATTAAACACATTAACTTTTGCCAAATGGGGATTTTTTTTTTTTTAATTATTATTAAATTATACATTTCTCTAGCTCAAATCTTTTTTTTTTTTTTTTGTGGGAACCTTTGCTGAAAGGTACTCTTACACATACTGTACATTACAATCATTTTCAATTTACAGAGCAAACATATTTATTAAAATAGCAAGGATTTACACAATTCAATATTTATTGAATACCAGTGACACTCACTGTTAAAACGTTGTTTTACAAACAAATTTTTGCAAGCATAGAAAGTGTGCAATAACACAATGACACATCATGTGTTGAGATTTCACAATGATTCACTTGTTATTTGTACTTTTCATGATAACTCAGTCATGAAAAATGAATTGAAAATAAAGACATGTGCACTGTGCTCTAATGGATGCCCTGTGAACAAGATGTATTTGGAAATAAAATATGCAAATCTCGTTTTGTTTATTCTTGTTTTCTCGTGGTTGGCAACTGTGCATGCGGTAGAAAGAGGAAGGATTTTAGGAAAATATGTGAATAAATGTAGAACAATTGTTATCTAAGTCACGAGGCTTTGCAGCCAGAACTTTATAATAAATATATTTATTTCTTACAGAAAATGTGAAAATATTAAAGTAACTCATAATGCACCAAACACTGTGTCGTGTGGAGCTCTTGTTAAAAGAGAGTGTTTGCTTCTATTTGTTTTGCACAATAATTTAATTTCCATGTAAGTTTCCCATACCTTAATTCCCATTCCTCTGGAGTCTGACTGGAACAAATATTAAATGTAGTTTCTGGATTTATTAATCCTCCTCTGAAAGTACATAACCTTGAAAACTTATTTTTTCCTCAACAATCCCCCTTGTACATATATACTTCAAAGTAATCGATTACAAAGTGCTTGTAGAACTCATGTGAATCTGCAGTGGCTCAATCTGTTCCCATTAATAATCAGTCGTTATTTAGAGGAGAAAAAAAAAGATAAAAACAACTTAAACCATAGGTATATAGTTTAACAACAACAAAAATATGTTTAAAAATTGTGTTAACACAAAAGCATTTTTCCCAATTATCGTTTGTGGCTGTGTGAAGTCATTCATTGTCAAACAACTGTCATGAGTGGGAAAAAAAATAATCATTGTGTTTTCTAAAAAATGGATAAGAAATGCAACATTTTAACAGGGTATGTAAAGCTTATGAGCACAACTTTTAATTCCTCCCCATATACAGTCCATGTACTCCATGTTTGTCTTTTCATTTCTACCTCACTTTTACCTCAGCTCACCCTCATCTTAGCTCGTGCCTTCACGCCTCAAACTCAATTTCTCAGTCTTTGAATGGACGCAATTGCACTGAGCTAACTCAATTGTGAAGATGTAGCAGCACTGGCCCTTCAATAGATTGGGGCCTCAGCTCTAATACTACATCGCTCGTGAGACAGACACAGCCGCTGCGATTCCATTTCAACATCTGCACTTAAAAAATAAGGCTTGAAATTCAGGCTTTGCCCAACCCTGCAAAAACTTAACAATAAATCACTGACAGCTCAAGCAGAAATTCAACAATGAATCGACTCTTTTACTGGTGCATGCCAATTAAGGAGACCGGTTATGGCATTAATGTTTCACAGGTATAAAAATACTGTTGCAAGGAAAACTCAATGATACGAAATGGTTTCGGCTGAATTAACGCATGAGGTGGAGGCGAATGACCACCCCATGTTGCTATACATAGTGCTATAAACCACAGCAAAGAGTCGCTGATCCCATTGTCACGGTCACTTTCCAACATAAACATTGAAGAGTTTTAATTAAAACATTTCTAAACTCCGTCTCTCCCTTCCCCAATTTTATACTAAAAAACGAATCCATGCCTTTTGGACCTCTGGCAGGAGCCTGCAGAAGCTCCAGAACTGCGCTGCCAAGATCTAGCCGAGGAAATACAATCATATCACCCCTGTTCTCCACTCACTTCACTGGTTGCCTGTTCAACATCAGATTCATTACAAACTTTGCCTTCTCGCCCTTCAGTTCATACACAGAATTGCCCCCACCTATCTCTCAGAGCGTCACACCACCTCATGTTACCTTTGCTCATCCTCAAGCCACTGTATCCATCAGCCAAGGACCAAACTCTCCTCTATGGAAGACAGGGCTTTTCAGGCTAGTTCTGCATTCAAGCTTGTTGAACTGATGCGGTTAAAAGGCAAATGAATTTATTTAAGTAAGAATCAAACTGGTTTTTTTTTTTGACAAACACTTCAGCGCTTAAGATTTCTTTGACAAACGTTATCAGAGACTTTTAACATGACACACTTCAGTTTAAAAGCACATGACACGTGACATTTCAGATACCGTCTTAAAGTATTCAAACTGCTTTTACATGTCAATCCCACATGGGTCTCTTACAATATATCCTTAATGCTTTTTAAAATTATTTAGTTTGGGGATTTCTCCAAGTTGGAAAGTCGGAGACCCTGCATGGATATGCTGTCCACTTGCAAATGCAGCATCGTTTTCATGTAACCAAGGTTGTCGGTTGGAACCAAAAAACGAAAACAGGTTTTACCGAGTTTTGGTGGTGGAGTTTGCCATCGTCATCACTCTCTGTGCTTGGAACTAGGAAGACCAAGTGTAATGGACGACAAAAGAAGGACTGTGATGCTGTTTTTCCAGTTATCGTGGATTATATGCAGGTGTTTTATGTTTGATCACAAACAGAGGTGTCTGTGTTTTTGCAAACTCAATACTGAATACTTTTTTTTTTTAAAAGTTACCATGAGTTACTGTGCTTACCAATACCGGTGGATTGATATATACATAGCATAAACCACTATAAATACCTTGAAATATCTCTACAGGAAAATATTCCATCATGTTAAATTCAACAGATATTTAAATGTTTTTTTAGGTTGTTGGTAAAGCCTAAACACCAAGATTGTTTTAGAATCAGCATGCTGAACTGGAAAACGGTAGCACAGTCAAGACCTACATAATTTCCGATTATTAGCCAATGCAAAGTCGAAAGCTTTTTTTTTTTTTTTTTGAAAGCTTGAGTGCACCACCAAGAAACTGACTCCCATTGCTCACATCTCTGACAGACTGAATCAGGCTTCATTCTGCTGCGAGAAGACAGCCCAGGAGTTAGGAGCAACTGGATGTTGGGCTGCCTTGTTAGTCTCTGACAGATGCAACTGT